GTCATCAATATTTGCAACCACCAAAAACCACCATTGATGAGCTCTTTAAGCTTGTGTTTATGAATTTTCAACCACTTATTTCACTTTCTAAACAAACAATACTTCATTTCCTCTCATTTCCTCTCTATTTTCATCTAAACAATCCTCATAACTCTCATTTTCATAAACACAAACTTCATAGTTTTGATTTTATCCACAAATGAATCGTAAAGGTTGCTTCTTTTGCTCATATTTGGATTCTGGACGGTGGAAAAGCTTGGAAACAAGCTTTAAACCGGTGTCAATGTAACTATTTACATGCTTTTCGTCATATCTCTGATCTATATCGCGAAAGTAGACTCTATTATATGTCTACACATACGTGTAGACTTATGATGCAGTCTACTTGTCAACGCACATGTTACTTTTGCAATTGACCAAAATAACTTTTTTTGTAATGTAGACCTACAAGTACGTCAACGTCTTTACCTTTGAAACCAAAAACAAAAAAATTGGTAGGCTTACTAAGAAATCTACATAAAACAGGTTAGATTTGCATTTGACCAAAATTTTGACTTTGACTTACCATAGTAGACTTTCGTGGAGGTCTACACTTTGTAGACTGCTAGGTAAGTCTACGGAAGGTCAGTTTTGCATTTGACCAAAATCTTGACTTCGTTGAATAGATTTCTTTTGTATTTGACTAAAATATGTAGAAGCTGACTAAAACTTACTTTACGTGTAGACTTCATATGCAGTCTACAAAACTTAGAAAAAAAAAGTAGACTGCATAAGAAGTCTACTATTTTATGTTGGTCAATTGCAAAACTAACATGTCGGGTTATAATGTAGACTTTTATCGCAGTGTACAGTTGCGTAGACATTTAGTTTTGTCTACTCGTAGAAAGTCAACTTTGGTCAATTGCAAAACTAACCTCTTTCAAACAAATTTTAAAATGTAGACTGCATAATAGGTCTACTTCTAAAAGTCAAACTCTGAACGAATTCTGGTCAATTGCAAAACTAACCTTTTTAAAAATGTAGACTAAAAAGTAAGTCTGTTCATATAAAATCACATCTTTTTTTTCAAATACGGAAAGTAACCCGTGAATTTGGAAATTGCAGAAACCAACCTAAACGTAGACCTAATTTTCAGTCTACAGACTGTAAACTGAATAAAACGTCTACACGTCTGTAGACTGAATATGTAGTCTACCATGTAAATTGTATCAAAAGTGGATTTGTGTATTATTCATTAAGTTTTATCAAAACTTTTTTTTATGAAAGTGTGTGTTAGTTAATCATAAGTGTCTTGAATGATTTTAAGAAGATAATCTGTTATAATTAGGAAGTTATCAATTTTTTTGTTTGTCTATGTTGTTAGGTTAAAATTTGTAGACGTACTTGTAAGTCTATGATATAATTTTATCAAACATGAAATTTTGGTTTGCTAATTATATAAACCGTATTGTTTTGCACGAAATGGTTCAACTACTTGTTGTATACGGAGAATGGGTGGTGAAAGACTCTTTGTGGGAGTTTGAGGTCGATAATCGGAAAGGAGGGAGAATGTTCCTTGTCCATGATGGTTGTACACATGGTGAACTTCTTGAAATGGCACAAGAAGATTATTATCTGAACAAGAAAAGCGAGATGGTGGAGCTGAAGTATTCCCTACCAGACGTGATCTTAAAGGAAATGGCTCTAGATACGCCCCCTGTGCATGTCACGAATGATAGACAAGTGCAGAACTTGATCGAGTTATCTAAGACTCATATGGTACGCCTCTGTGTATCAAGCCAGTGCCAAGTAGAAGCTGATGATGTGCCTGATGGTGATGATAATATCTTTACTGAT